TGTTTTATTATAAATTATATTATATAACTGAGATATTTATTTATTATGATATATATATATACATATATATTTATTATTATGAATTATGTTTTTTGTTATAAACTATTCTATAGTTAAACTAAATTTCGCTTGTTTGAACTGTATTCATCATTTTTATTTATTATTGTATGTTTTTTTGTTATTTTTATTAGAAACTTTATTCTATATTATGTAACTGAGATACGCTTTTGTATTTCTAGCGTAATCATGAGGCAGAGCTCCAGAAGTCTACATCTGACTCTGGTACTTCCGCCTAGGTACAGCAGCCTACAATAGCAGCGTACTGTACAGAATCAACTAAATATAAGTCTACACCCCCTTGTCAGAAGCACATCACTAATACACTCATCAATTTTATTGCCAGTACACTGCAACCCTTCTCAGTGGTGGAGGCAAGAGATTTTGAAGATGTAACGGTAGCCATGGATTCTGGGTGTATTCTTCCCAGGCACAACCATCTGTCCACAATGTTGATCGAGAGCAGTTTTGATGAAATCCAACAAAAAGTAATCTTTGAATAGAGTTGTTTAAATAAACCCGATTCAATTATGTACTAGCTGCCCAGTGTCGGCTAACAATACGAAGAATTAAATTGTGGCGAAATGCTACAAGTTCGTCAGATACCTATAGAATGATAGGTTTCTTTTTTGTGGCTGTAAAACACTTAAATACACCATTTCGAAAAAGTAATCTCTCTACTGTCACTGTGTATATCTGAAGTAGCAGACAAATGCACAGCTTTCTTGGAGTCACTGGTCATTTTATATTTGAGTGGCATGTCGGCGTTTCAAGGGGCATCCGTCACACATCTAATAACATTACAGTTCAATATGATGAAATAATAAGTCTCTTTAACATCAACAACAAGGTGTCATATATGACATTTGATAACGCATCCAACATGATCAAGGTTTTCTGCTTGCCTGAATTTGAACTGCAAACACTACCTAGTGTGAGAAATGGCGATAGCTCATCTACAAGTAATTACTCAGAAGATGAACTTTTGGATGAATCCAAATCAACAGACAATTTATCTGAATTTCTTCCTAAAAATGACCCCTACTTTTCTCACACGCTACAGCTTGTGGTCAAGGATGGCATGAAAAAAAAAGCTGGACCACTGCTGAAAGTAATTTCCAAAGCATCAGCCATCGTGTCCTACATTCGAAAATCACTGCAAGCAACTGATCTACTTGAGGGAGAGGCCAGAGTTATTCAGTAACACAAACACAATGGAATTCAGAAATTAAGATGATTAAGTCTTTATTGAAGATTCCCCAGAAATTGGATAATCTAGATACTGGTACATCAAAATTTACTTTTCATGATGGAACTGTGCTTGCAGATTTGGTGACAATACTGACACATTTTGAAGAAGTAACAGATTTCACCCAGGGTCAGAACATTGTTACGTCCAGTTATGTAGTGTCATGTGTTTATGGGTTGATGACTGAGATTAACAGCATGTAATCCAGATATAATTTCAATCTTGCTCTGCACTGAAGAAATCTGTTCACGCCCGGCTGACGCAGTATGAGCAACGAAGTGTTGTATGCTCAGCTGCGGCATTGGATCCCAGATTTCATCGTGACTGGTGTTTCAACAGACCTATGGTCTATGAATCCAATTGAATGCTCCTGCAACAATAACTCAAGGAAGTTTCCTCAACAAATAATCCTACAGCCATGGAACAAAATAGAACTGTAAATCCCCCCTCGCACAAAAAAGTAAACTCTTAAGTAAGCAGCCACCTCATCTTCAGGGGATAAGAGATCAACAATTACCTCGATGATCCTTGCATTCCTGAAGAAAGCAACCTGTAGGTTATTGGAAGATCCATGAAAAACCTTCCCTACCCTATCTCTACTAGCCAAACGCTACCTGAGTGTTTCAGCATCCTTTGGCCCCCTTGAGCGTTTGTTTAGCATCGGAGGCAAAACCCTCAGACCTGATCGCGGCGCCTCACTGACAAGACATTTGAGAGACTGGTGTTCAAAAAGAACAATGGACAGTTATAATATCTATAAGTCTATTTTAAGAATTTGTTTTTTGTTCTAAAACTTGTTATTCATTTTGAAAAATAAAAGTATTGAAATGTTATTATTGTTCAAATTTTGTCTCAATTTCTAAGAAGTTTGTTTCGTAAAATATAAGTATTGAAATCATATCGTCTGCTGTTTTATCATTATTGTATAATACCTGAAAAGGTTTTCATGAATACATTCCTATGTATTCGTGTTCATAAAAATATGATGTATTGGTATTTGATTACTGATCTCCATCCCTGCTGCCCACCACGGGTGTTTAAAAACCGATTTTTTGCATCGTAAGGCTGCTGACTTACTACTAGTGGCGTTGTATATGGAAAAGCGTGACATGAAAGATGAACGGCATACACAGACGTGTGAAACATGAAACTATGTTCCAAATTTAAATATCAATGCTACAATGACAAATACATTTATATACGCCCGCCACTTGTATAATGATCAAATCGAGCTAGCTGAGGCTGACGTCACAACTTTCAACAGTACTCGTGCTTATTTTGTGACGAACGAAACCTACCATTCTATTTCCATTGGCTTAAGACAGGTTTGGTCTAGTTGTTAGCATGCCTGGAGTGTGTTTCTTTATAGTAATGATTCGCATCCTCTGCTGCAAAAACACACTCTACACTTTGGGTCCCTGGATGCGCAACAAGAGGGATGATCAAATTCTACTATTCGGTCAGATAATCGTAGGCCTAGAGTTGTCTTCCTTTACTTTATTAGTTCAAAATTAATGACAGCTATGTACACATGACCTTCGAACAGGTTAGCGCGAAAATTCTAGATCAAACAAACAATACTTTGGCTTTTTAGAGCACAGTGGTGATACTCGTACTAATGCTATAATACAGTCGAATATATTGTAAAATATTTGATCATTTCTACACCAAAAAAAAAAAAAGGCCATTTGTCGTAAACATTTCTCTGAGCAGTTGTTCTTAAAGGAATTTTCGTCTTGGCTATAGCCATGAAAAAATAATTAAATAATATGTTATTTTATGACCAATAAAAGTGGTCAAGTTTATTTTGTTATATAAATTATAGGAAATTACACGACAGAAGGAGCTAACATTTTTGTAGGAAACTACAGGACAGAGGAAGTTAACATTTTTATAGGAAACTACAGGACAGAGGAAGTTAACATTTTTATAGGAAACTACAGGACAGAGGAAGTTAACATTTTTATAGGAAACTACAGGACAGAGGAAGTTAATATTTTTATAGGAAACTACAGGACAGAAGGAGCTAACATTTTTATAGGAAACTACAGGACAGAGGAAGTTAACATTTTTATAGGAAACTACAGGACAGAGGAAGTTAACATTTTTATAGGAAACTACAGGACAGAGGAAATTAACATTCTTATAGGAAACTACAGGACAGAGGAAGTTAACATTTTTGAGTGTTTGTGCCAAATTTGATACCACCATGGTTTCATGTGTACTGTAGGATTATAATATTGGCCATACCCTTGTTCCCTTACCTTTATTTCTTATATTGTTCTTGTCTCTGACACACACACACATATACTGCTTTTTTTGTGCTGATTCTGTGTTTTCTTGTTTGTGCGTTGTGAAGTCATTGTTTCTCATTGCTTCTGTTTTTGTTCGTGTCGGTAACGTATAGTATTCTATGATTCTGATTCATGTCATAGTGTTGTTGCTGTAATTATTCATGACGTAAATTTCCTTGCCACATATTGGATTTTATTTCACATTAATTCATTTTCTGTAGTGATATAAAACACCTATAGCTGATCAAGCTATGGAAATTATTAGATCTAAAATTTGTTACAAAAATCATGTTTGGCTGTAGATGTTTTTATTTACTTATTATTATATATTACAGTTAAAAAGAACATAATTAAAAAGTTCTTGGATAAAAATATATCTGCTGTCAAGTCTGATTTTATAACAAATATGGAGAAAAATTTTGTTGTTGCTCGAGCGTGTGATAACATCTTATTGATGCTAGCCAAACTCTACCTGTGTGTTTCAGCATCCTCTGCCCCCGTTTGGATAACCATTTTTCATTCTACTATTCTCTGTTAATGTAGTTCTGTGTACGTTTGTGATGTCACTTTGTCATTCTGTTATTCTCTGTTGGTGTAGTTATTTGTACGTTTGCGATGTCACTTGTCATTCCATTCTTCTCTGCTGATGCACTTGTGTATACATTTGTGACGTTACTTTGTCATTCTGTTGATGTAGTTGTGTGTACGTTTGTCATTCCATTCTTCTCTACTGATGTAATAGTGTGTACGTTTGTTATGTCACTTGTCGTTCCATTCGTCTCTACTGATGTAGTTGTGTGTACGTTTTTGATGTACGTTTGTGATGTCACTTGTCATTCCATTCTTCTCTGCTGATGCACTTGTGTATACATTTGTGACGTTACTTTGTCATTCTGTTGACATAGTTGTGTGTACGTTTGTCATTCCATTCTTCTCTGCTGATGTAATTGTGTGTACGTTTGTTGTCACTTTGCCCTTCCATTCGTCTCTCCTGATCCTGTTGTGGGTACATTTGTGATGTGACTTTGTTATTCAGTTATTATATGCTGATATCGTTGTGTCTATGTTTGTTGTCACTTTCTCATTCCATTTTTCTCTGCTGATGTAGTTATGTGTACGTTTGTGGTGTCACTTTGTCATTCCATTATTTTTTGCTGATATAGTTGTGTTTACTTTTGTGATGTCACTTGTCATTCCATTATTCTCTGCTGATGTAGTTGTGTGTACATTTGTTATGTTATTTGTCACCCAATTCTTCTGTGCATATGCTGTTGTGTGTACGTTTGTGATGTCACTTTGTCATTCTATTATTCTCTGCTGATATAGTTGTGTGTACATTTGTTGTCACTTTGTCATTCCATTCTTCGCTGCTGATGCTGATGCTGTTTCTATGGTTTCAGGACACAGCAGTTTATCCTAATGAGCTCCATGTATGCACAGCTCCTGGTGGTGATATGTATAACATTCTTTACCTCCGAGGTTGTAACCCCCTTGGTGCCTCTATTCTACTTCGAGGTAAGTATCATGGTCGGCTTAGTTTATTATAGCTTACATGGTCTTGGAATATGCTAATCCAAGCTGGTGTTGTATTTTTAAACGTCTATGTTGTGGGGTATAATATCCCGCATTCATACCTTATGGTACGTCCAATAACCGTGTAACAAATGTGTGAGAAATGTTCTTGATATATTAAAGCAGTATGCCTTTCGAATACCGGTGTTGTTTTGATTACAAATAACCACTCATAAGTTAATATTGGAATCTGAACTAAATTTTATGGCCTCGTTCTGAAGAAAGAGTACTCAAAAATAAAAAAACTAATGCCTTATCAATGTTTTTTGTAATATTTTTGAAATAAAAGAATTAATTAGCGATACCCCTTCTCTTGTTTAAATGTTTCGAAATTTAACACGTACTTTAATCAACGCATCTTATATAACACAAAGATTAATATTGTAAATTAAGCCCTTTGTGCTTAATAACAATCAACAACAACAAGCAAAAACATTAAATTACTCAATAACATGTAATATTTGGACTCCCCCGTTACTGAGTGATATATATGAAAAAACAATTTGAGCATTAATTTCGAAACAAATATCTTATAAAGTTTTTGAACTGAATCGATTGAATTATTAGTTACAATATGAACATTTTGCTCCAAGTGATTCATGTGAAAAAATGTGGATGATGAAATAAAGCCTCTGTATTTTAGAATTTCTGTTGCATTCTACATCTCACGTGTTTAATTTTTTATATGATAGTTATAAATTTCATGTAAGAGGGAGGGAATTACTTTATCATATATAGTGGTTTTAAAAGTAATTTTAATCCCAAGAAAACATATCAGTATGGTTGATATGGCATAAAAAACTAGAAGTCGTACTCAAACTTCCATCTGCAAATATCGTAACTGAAGTAAAAAAATCCTTTTTTGACGACAGAATAATGTTTTATATATTTACGAAATCGACGATATTTTTTGTTTTATTTCTATATTTGGTCTAACTTTATATTTATATATTATTATTTGTGGTTACAATCACTTTCTGTTAACTTCTACCACATAAAGTTGTCACATTTGTTTCCAGGGGTTTTACCTCTTCATGTACAGCGTTAGCTTACTCTTTCTACTCTATATCAATCTCTACATTTTACGGAATGCTCCGGCGAGTACTCCTTCCAGTATTGGTAGCGGAAAGAAGCCCTCTATCATGGAGAATCTCCGCAGACTGGGTGATCATGGACAAAAGCTTGAGCCAGGAGAGACCCCTATTCCTCCTCGAGTAAAAAAATCCAAGACATCTGACAATGACCGGAGCCACGGGAGTTTGTTTCTCCGGATTGGAGCCATTGGTCAGTTCATCGCACGACCTCCCAAGAGTTTTCTTTTTTTGTTTTAATATAACAAAAGACTAGTTTCCTGTCAAAACAAAGTATTATTAAAAGGAACTGTGTATCTAGTGTTCAACATTAATATTAAATAATATAAAGGAGGACGCCACAAAACACACGTAAACAAAATCTTAGGCAATTATTACTTAATTTGTTTTATTCAATAACTTTGGTGCCTATTGAACTGATAGAATAGTAATTCAGGTGATTTGTTGTCTAAAGATTTCTAGTAATAAATTCATAATATCGCATCAGAATTTATTTAAGATGGTTTAATATTCTATGAGGGAAGATACGCCAAACGCACTTGTCTGGGTATAATTATAACAACCAATAACATATTACTTGATCTGTTTTATCAAAACCTGGATTCAGGATGGTTAAGAGTTGTTTTCCATAGTTCTTGTCCAAACCAGTTTGTGACTGCTTACTTACAACCAGAGAACTAGAAAGAAATCATCAAACAACTTCAGTGATGTGCAAGTGTCAAGAATATGAACCAGTAACTTCTGAGTAGTGTTTAGTACTTCGTTCCATTGAACCACTGACCTTTTTATGTAGAGGAACACAAGACTTTGTAAAGTTCGACTATGCAGAATTAGAACATATGGAAATTCAAATAAATTTCAAAAATAATCTATAATGATCGGTAGTCTCTTTCACAGATGATACTAGTATAATATTAAATAAATCTGGACTATTTTGGACTCTTTCCATAAAACGACTACTAAAAATATCCACTTGGGTATTTGTGTGTCCTTTTAGTAAGTATGGTTATCGTTGAATGTTGCAAAACAACTTCCGAAGCATGGGCGTCCACAGAACAACATAATATGTATATATATATATATACTGAGTGAATAAAGAAAGAAATACGTTTCTCATTTTTTCAGGGGGCAGGTGTCCCCCCTAGACCCCCTTTTTGATTCCAAACTCACGTGATTATACTTTGGTATTATTTAGAAGACAACAACAAAGGTGTATTAACTACTGTTATAATTCTAGATTTACAAATATTATGTATGTATGCATATACATTTATATTGAAGCCATATATCATATTGAGTTTGAGTACTTCTCTTTGAAAGCAACAGAAAGTTTAATTTCTCCTCGTGTGGCACCGTAATAACGCTTAACCCAATTACTCTTAATCTAATCTTACCAAACTTAATCACACTTAACCTAGTCTAACCTAACCACACTAAATCTAATATAATCTAACTTAATCACATTTAACCTAATCATACTTAATCACTGTTAACCCAATCTAACCTAACTGTAAGTGTCAATTTCAAATTCATGTTAGTTTACCAGGATCATCAATGAATTGTGATCAAAGTAAGTTATTTATATATATCACAACTAAATATTTACTCATTAAATAATGTAACTAATTTAAAAACCGGTAAACTACAAGTATAGGATGTCATGAAACAAACATTTATAATAAGTGGAACGTATTAGTTCGTCAGTTGAGTACCTTCACTGTTATCGACCGTTATACCCAAATTATCTTTTTGAAACATAACAACTGATTATGATGAGAAATTTTATTCTATAAACGTCACTCCGAGATGTAAGGTAATTAAGCCATCATTGTTTACTGATATTACGATTTGCATATTTTCTACTAGCTAGATTGTGTTAAGCTCAAATCTCATTAAAGCCAATGTAAATGTTTATTTAGCCACCGTGCTTTTTAAAGGAAGGACATGCTATATCTGTGCTAAAGTATAAAAATATTAAAATCGACAAAATAAAGCAGATGCATGTTCTCTAAATTAAGTTTCCGAGCATAATATAATATTTGAGTTAAATGTGCACTAAAAAGTAGAGAATGTTAGACATCTCATTGATACGAAGGATGAAAACTATCTGTGGCTGAAGCACTAAAATCCTTCAGTGGATAAAGTAGTTACTACATGTAGATTAAATTACAGAAAATTTGATTGATGTGTTTTAACAATTGCCGTTTCTATCGTTTTAGCTTTTGGACTTGGAACTATGGTGTATAACGGTCTAGAATTTGGACAGTTCTTCGAGATTCCCCAGACGTCCCCCTGCTACAGTATTTTGTTGGGGATAAACCCAGTTCTACACATGATTTTTACGTTTGCTCAGATGTATTTCATCTTTGTAAATGCCCGAGTAAGTCTGTGCTAACATATTGTTCAAATTTGAAATATTTTTCGACACGTGTGTCTCACTCTGGTTCTCGGGTAGGAAACTTACTTAAATGGAATTTGGGTAGGAGTGTATAATCTGATTAGTCTAGTTTCGATAATAAGCTTGAAGGCTTATAACACTAAAATTCGGGGTTTGAACCCTGTGGTGGCAAAGCACGTACAGTCCGTTGTGAAGCTTTGTGCTTAAAAGCAAACAAATGTCGCTAGGTAGTTATTATAAAGTTATTTACCCAACAGTAACCTATCTTCGTGTACAGTCATTTTGAAATTAATATTTTGATTATAATAGGCAGAATAAGAAGTGCAGTTTTACAGAATAATCCGAATAAAATATAAAAGAAAGAAACAAACACTTGAGGTGAGCAAGTTTTCTGTAGTGGCAGTAAAAATCTTTATTTATTCGTTCAAAGTCTGTTTCTGCACTCAGTGAACTAGTTACGATTCAGTATATAATTTAGACAACCTGACTTAACATTTTCAACTTTAGATATTCTTCAGAATTGAACAATATTTTTCTTAACCACTTTGCCTGTTTTCATCATTGAGCACGTGGCATTCGGATCTCAGTCATAAATTTGACAGTACAACAATACACAAAAGTGAAAGTTCATTTGTTGTTAAGCTACACAATATGTTATTTGTGCTCAATCCACCCCTGGTATTGTTGTTGCTGTTGTTAAGCACAAAGCTACACAAAAGGCTATCTGTGCTCTACTCACCATGGGTATCGAAACCCGGTTTCTAGCGGTATAAGTCCGAAGACATACCGTTGTGCCACTGGGGGGCTCCTCGTATTGAAACCCAATTTGAGCCACCGAGGATAAGATGTTATCTTGTTTCCCCTCTATGAAATATTTGATAATTCAGCTATACATTTTGGTATCTTAATCCTCTGTGGCAGATTGTATTAAGTACAGGTAACAAACCTATCTACTTATTTCTGTAGTCGAAATAAGTTTCTGTACTTCCAGGTAACAACCAAAATAAACCATGAAATTATTTTTGTTGGCTCCTCAACTGAACAATGTAAGTTGAAGGTAATGTACCATATATAACTTACCAAAATATATTTTACAAAATAATTTTGTGCAACATAGACCTATTTAAGTAAGAAATTAAAAGAAAACATTTTTCCGTTCTACTTTCATAATACGTGCATTAGAGCTGTGTACATATTTTGAATATCGTTCGAAGAGTTAAGGGTAACAATTATCTATATATATATATATATAAAATAGCCAGACGTCTGTCCGTCTGCAGAGCTCTGTATCTCCTTAACGGTTAATACTTATGTTCAAGGGTACGTTACAGGAAAAAATATTTATTTTTTGGCAATTCCTAAAAGTTCATATTAATATGAACATCGATCCGTCAGTCTTGGTATGTGCTGAACGGTCAATGTGAGAAAAAAAACGTATTAAGTAAAATATTTTTATGAGAGAATTTCACGAAAAAACAAACAAAAAACGGGACTTCCTCTGTTCACTGATTGAAAGAAATATTTCGAGGTAGGAGCATAAACGCAAAAAGCGCATAAAGAAAGTAATGTGTTTAAGCATCTATTTATTGTTCGATTTATATATATGTTTGTTTATTTTTCATGTCAGTATTATATACATGCATAATTTTATTGTACCATGTCGAATAAATTCATTTGAATTGAATATCTACCCTTTGACACGTCTTATAGAAATGACAACTCAAAAAAGTGTTCACTTCCGTAGCAGTCTTTTCTTGCTCTCAATGAAATGACAAGGAATGGGGACATACAGCTGAAACAATCCACGCGGCTACTTAGCGCATTTTATACTTATTCATCACTATTTTGAAGAAGATTACCGTTGAATTGTTTCAACGAGCATCTGCTAGTTTCTATATATAATGCACGTTGTATTATATTTATTCCTAAACTATTGTTGTTAATACACATATTTTAAACTTCAATTTCCTTTTAAATATTTATGTTTTCCTAAATTATCAGGTCAGAGAGGTCGTTTGTTATATCACATTTATTTTTCGTACACGTATAGTATTTAATATTTTCAACCTGAGTAGTACGTTATGCGACTCTTGGAATATATGGTCATGTCAGGAACTCCTAGGCATAAGCATAGTCGTCCCTAGTTTTGAACAGCTGACCAGAGAGAAGGCAACCAGTAGGCAGCTACCGCCGTTTACATGGCTATTCTCAAGTAAATAGTGAGTTAATTTTAAATTTTCTGATTCGTATACATCTGAATATGCGGAGCGTGTTCAGCGGCATTTCGCGAGCTCGAACCTTAGTTCTTTCGGACTACAACCCGGCACAGTAACTACTAAGCCTTGTCCCAGCCTTATTTCTACATAATAATTTTAGTTACTGTATATTGCTCTCTCCTCCAGTGGACACAAAAAAATTAAAGCTAATGTACACAGGTTAAGAACAGAACATTTAACTTCAGAGACAATTACCTATGTCTTTTGTTGTTGTTTTTATATTGTAATATATATATATACCAATTATGTATTAATTCAATAATTAAAGGTTAAAATCATATTATGGGGTTTCTCTTGAATCTTTGGCCACAAATAATCATATCAAACGATATATTTTGACAGATGAATATCCACAAGTTCAAGATGATTGCGAGGTTTGGTCTGATGCATATGGTCGCCACCAACTTATGCATCTGGATCCGAACATTAGGCAAGGAGACTCTACATGAGGTCGCCCAAAATCTGCTGAAGAGGGGCCATGGAGGCCTGTTGGAGGAGTTTATGATGCCTTTTAGAGGTATGTGCTTCTGTTCTATGTCACTGTTTATCTTGTTCTTCTCCCACGTGTTTTAAGTATACATGGCTATCAACTAATTTGATTTTTTTAAATCAATTCAGATTTATTATTCCAAATTTAAACCAACACTCCTACAGATTTGTTTTCTAATCCAAACAGAGTCGGTTTGTTGGCGCACTTAAATCTGCCAGATGTGCCAAAATGACATTGCCCAAATTATCCTATCCATAGAGTTTACACGGAACGTATCATTATACATTACCTTTTTAGTTAGTTTGTTTTTGGTTTTTAGCCTAAAGTTACGTAATAGGCTATATGCACTGTGTCCAGTGCGGGGAATCGAATTCTGGATTTTAGCGTTCAGGAGCAATTACCTTTTTATACTACGCGCTGTTGTTGTTGAACAGAGATCCCAGTTTGTTGTATTAAAAAAATGTAATATTACGGAATCGAATTTTCTCTTCTAATTTTCTTTCCGGACTGTGGAACGGAGGTTCAGTGATTCGCACCCTGTTATTGCTATAAATAAGTAGATGTGCAGTTTGACTAATATTTTGTGCGGCAAATTGCATACCAGCTCTTCCCTTGGTGAAAGCCCGACAGATCCGGTGAAAGTCTACAAGTAAAAGTGAACTCTCACTCCATAATGGACTTTCTTTTTGAAACTTTTCTAATGCACATTAAACGTCTTACCTTAAACGTTTTGCATATTATTTTAAGGAGACTGCATTTCTCCGTCTTGTTTTCTTGAAACCGTAGAAAACATGCATCAATTTGCTAAGATTAGCAAAATATCTGCGAGAATTATCTGCATCGTTTATTCTCCAAGAAAATTGTTGTAAGACATGGGGAGCGGATCGAAAGTGATGAGGTGTAGCAGTCGAGTCGAGAAACTTTGCAGAAATGGCAAAGCAGTTGCGTAACTTCTTCTTCAAGCAGCCCATTTTACAGTAGAGACGTAGTTAAGATTTCTACTGTCTGAATTTGGTACATTGAATACATGAAATTTAATAATAATCCTGAATTTTGCTTCTACGGAAAACTATATTCTACATTAAGAAGTAAGAAATATCCTAAATATATTTTAATTATGAAATACTTCTCTAATTCAGACTTAAGCGCTTTTCTAACGCTAGTATAAACCGGAAGTTAAATGGTGTAAATAAGAAAAGAGCGGGAAACTTAAAAGTGGGTAAATTGACATGCTGAGGAAACACTGTTAAACACTCCTTATATCCTTCAAGTTGAGCACAAAACAAAAGTATG